CCCAGCTACTGACTGCGGGCACCTTCTAGGTACATCTGGGTTTCAGAAATTACGGATCACTCAGACAAGCCATTTTGAAGAGAAACATATTGAAGATGCGCTCGAAGCAGAACTGTAGAAAGAGAGCTTAGGATCTCAACCACTGCAACAAGTCCACAAAACCAGTTAAAGCTAATGGTGTTAAGTTTTAAACCCAGCACATATCACAAAGGAGTGTGTTCTTTGGTCCTTACATATCAAGAGATAAAGTGAAGTACATAAGTGAGTAAAAAAGAAATGCAGTGAGAGAAAATAGAAGTAAAGGGGAAATACTGATCTCAGATTTGAAAAGAAGCCCAAGTTTCTCCCAGCTGATGGCTATCAAGACTGAAACCATCAGGTAGACATTAATTCCAGGAAAGGCCAAAACACACTTGTTCCAACACATTAACTGGACTTTCTTCCATACCCCTGCTACGCTCCTAATGGTGGTGCAAGTCCTTCCTTTTCCTTTCTCAAATGCAGATCGCATCGTATGATTTTACAAATAACACATTTCAGCAACTGAAATAAAAGGCCCCAGAACAGTCCGAACCTCCAACAGAGCAACATCCACCCGACACGCAGACAAACGTGCCGGAACGGAGCGGGGAGCACGCGCTGCGTGGCTCCGCAGTCACCCTGAAGAAAACCCCATCACACAGTGCTGACGGGGAAAAGGACTTTTTGCTTTCTCCAACTCCAGCAGAGAGAAGCTTTGGCTCCATATGAGAGCTCTGCTTTGGGTAAGGATGGGGGATTTTGGAAGTGTTCACACCCAGTGCTCTCCCCGTCTTACTGCGTGTGTTCGGCGCGGCAATCCAAGCTGCTTCTGTTTGGTAAGCACAGCTGGAAACGCAGATCTGACTGCGTCCTGCTTATTTCATTAACAAGGGCCCAGGTTTCAGGCAGGTGTCCATCCTGGCACACCCTCGGAAGAATTAAGGGGCACACTTGAGTTGTTCAGATGTGCTTAGAAAAAAGAAATTAAAAAAGGAAAAAGCATTTTGCAAATCCACTGTGATGCTCTAACACAGCCCTGGCACGGCCGCCGACTCCTGCCTCAACAGCTGGGCTCGGTGGGAGCACGTCAGATCCAAACCAGCTCGAGGGAGCTGGAAGGAAGGTGTTCTTGGGACCGGGTTTTGACCCTCCTGTTAGAAGTAAGCTCATTTTGCCTTTAGAGCAAGGAATACAAGTTTTGAAAGAGATTTTACAGGCCCTACCACAAACATTTCACTTCAACAGGGTGGTCTGTGTTACTTTTCAAAATTATGGCTTTGAATAAAATAATAGACTAGTAAAATTGGGAAAGTGCTGCAGTTCTTTCCAGCCATACACCTCCCTGCTGGGCAGCCTGAATTCCCGTGGCAAGGTCCCTGTTAAATCCACTTGCTCCATGATAGGGCTACGGAGGTTGAAGCCTGGGGATGCCCAGCACCTATTAACACCCTTCACGCAGCACCACGGGGGCAACCGACCTCTGAGACACACGTGGCCTTGTCTCCTGGATGCCCAACTTATTCGCTGAACTGTTGATTCCTAAATTCTTCCTATTTCAGTGATGGTGAACCCCTGAACTCAGCCAATGCCTGAGCTGAAAAAACTGAAAAGCTTTCTGGAGGGGAAAGGGCTCAGACATTTACTCTAGTATGAAGGGAGTAAATTTCAGTCCCACTTAAAGGATACCAACTTTATCCACTCTCCCATCATTGTGCAAGAGATCAAAATTGGAGGCAGTTTTACTGGGGTGCTTTGGAAAATCAATTATCTGCTTTTAGAGGGAAAAAAACCTCCCAAGGATTCAATTACACATGTCAAACTTTAGATATTTCCTTTATCCTCTTTGTTGAGAAAGTGTGAGCTTTGCTTGCGCTGCCTATTCACCAAAAAGGAAAAAAAAAAAAAAAAAGCTGTTTGACAAAATAATCATTTTTGCAAGCTGCTGCACTGGCGGGACAGAGGTCTGGGATTTGGCAGAGGGAAGTATCCGCCTTACAAGCTGATACCCACCACCACAGCAGCCCACCACCTGCAGCCTCCTGCCCGGAGCAGAACGGAGGAGGGAAGGAACAGGGAGCCATTAGAGACTGGCTCCTCGCCATCCCACATCTCCTTTGGTGCACTGGATCAGACCCCACAAACAACTCGCCAAAAAAAAGAAAAATCTAAAAATTGGACTCAAAGGGTCTTTTTAAGCACTTTAATCCTTTCGCACTGACTGTTCCCAGCGCGTCCATTCCTGGCACCAGATATTATGCTGGGAAAATCCTACTCCCCAAGCCAAGGAGTTAAAGAGAAAGCTGCTAATCAGCTAAATAGAACCTGGAATCTGTTCATATGAAAGTCGCTTTTTTTTTTTGTCACCTGAGGGACATCACAGTGTTCTGAAATACACTCTTGACATCATTTGGCAGACGGACCCATCTCATCCTACATGATTCATCCCTTAGGTTATTTTTTTAATATCAGAAAGTGAGCTTTTAAATGCCAAACTAATTTTGCGGGTGGTGGTGGGGAAGTGGAAGATATTCCAAGTGGTCTCGCTGGGCTGTACACCAACTGTGTCCACCAAATGGCTTAAAAAGAAAGTCTTCCCATGGAGCTTTCTGAAACAAAGCACACTGGCAGCCACATCCAACTATTACCTAATATTTTGTTCCTGAAGTTCACGCAGGCTGCGTTTGAAACATTAGAGGAGAAACCAATTCTAGCAGGTCCAGCTGTAGGACAGCAGGACAGGAAGGAAGCTAATTTGAGATGGGTTACAGCTCTTGGTAGTACCTACCTTCTGTCTTTGTTGCCTGTAACAAGCATGTTTGGAGGACTGTTCCGGAGGTTGACGCATGTAAAATCACCCATGGAGTTGCCCATCTTCTTCAGACACTGACTTGTTTCCAGATTGTAAAGAAGAACCTGGCAGAAAGGGAACCAACAGTGGTTAAATGCAGCATGAGCACAACAACTACATTGTGCTGCAGCATAAAGCAGAAGAGAGTTATCACCGGCAGAGAGGGTTTGCAGGACTCATTTCTCAATATTCTAACACATAATAACCAAGACACAGGTCTATCTCTATTAATATGAGCAACAAAACATCCTCAAAAACACAGTTTCATGCTGGAATCCATCCAGAGGCAGGGATGAAGGGCTCCTGGCAACCAGTATCAGACGGGTACGGCTCTCACTGTACAGATTTTCTCCAGGTCAATTTTTGAAGGCTTCCATAGAAAAGCAAATAGTTTCTTCAGCCATTTTAATATTTGAAAGAGCAGGAAAAGCAAACAGAATCAACATTGGGAAGGTTTAGACAGATGGACCGTGCAAGACAGATTCGATCAAACCCGGCAACAATTGCAGAGCAGGACGGAACTGAGTCAGCGCTGCCGGGCTGCGGATGGCTCGGGTACAGAGCACGCAGCAGAAACAGATTAACAGAAATATTACATCTGAAGTGGCAGTTCAGATGGGAAAGGAATAAAAACAATTCTGATCTTAAGCAACACGCAAGACTGACCAGAGTCTGGAAGAGAGGGATGACTCTGTCTGTTCACACTCCTCTCCTTCGCACAGAAATCGGTTTAATCACCTTTGCTGCCCTGCCTGGGGGGCCAGAGGAGACTGATCCATTTGGGCTTTTCAATTTAGGAGAGCAAGTATTTTTAGAAACAGAAAAATGTACTGGACAAAGCCCAGTGGAGCTCAGCACAGTACCTGGCCTTGCATAACTCCATAAACATTGCTAAATTTCATGGTGATGCTCCTTTAATTTAAAAGAAACCTACCACCATGAAAAGAGCAAGGGTAGTGAAAATATCCGAAAAAACCCATTATGGCTTCCATGGCAACACCCGCATGGCTATGTCAACATCACATCAATATTCTTAACTTCTGCTTTTCTGATTACATCCACACACAGCTTAACAAACATGACGCTACCTGTACATATGATTTCACCATTTCCCAGAACGGCGATAGCGATGCTGCCTGCCCTTTTACATCCTATCTGTGCCATTTCCGTAAGTATCTGAAAGGGCTGAACTAAGAGAGCAGGAGGCATTTTGTGCTGGATGCCTCTAGGCAACAAAGGCAAGCTTTACAAATCGCTAGGAATGCTGCAAAGAAAGGCAGGGAATTTGCAGGTTTCCTGCACCTGCCGTTTCTGCCAACCGAAGAGCAAGCGTGGTTTTATTCCGACATAATATCAGCTCCCTGTTAGAACCAACACACTCATACCCGACTTCCTCAGTTGCTTATAATATTTGTAGTCCCCCAACTAGTTCCCTTTCCCAGCCTTGTCTTTGTGAAGCTCTCTGCCTCAAATACCAGTCTTTCATAATTTTTCATCCTTAAGACCCAAAAAACCAAAGCAATTTTACCCAAGCCCTGTAAAGCAAAGAAGACTACATTTGCAGGGAAACTTAGGACCTAAAAATTGCTAAAAAATTAATTTAAGCTTCCATAGCTACGAAAAAGTTGCTAGAAACTGCAGGAAAATGTTAGCCTTCAAGGTACAGACCAATTTACAGCCTGTTCTCACTTGCAGCACAGCTTCCAACAGCTCGCTAACCAAACCCCGAGATAATGACGTGCTGGCAAAGGCACTTTGCACGGTTTTCAGTGCAAAGGAAATTAATATCTGTGCCTGGCAACCAAATTTCTCCTTGGAAAGTTTGGAACAAAAGACAAAGTCAATAAACTGCTGAATTCAACTTACGAACAATAAACCATCGGGTCAACGGCAACGTGTTCCAGGTCCCTGTCGAGGCTCTGGACCAGCCCTTCCCAGCTGTACGGACACCCCGGAGAGCCGAGGGCCAAACGCCGCCTTCGCTAAAGTCCCCCGGGGCTAATGCTCGAAGCGAACATCCATAAACTATTAATTTATCTCAGTGACCATAGCTCCCATCTATCCTATAAACATATGATACATACTTGGAAATCCAGTTATGGCCACGAAAGACTCATGAAAAATTACTTCCACGGGGCATTTAAAGATTCCCTGGCTTTACATCGGAGCAAATATTACGTATCACCCTGTTTGCGGTCTCAATTTCAGACCTGTGGCAATGCTTCTACGTAGGTAGCACCAGCTGAAAAATTACTTATTTCTTCTCACATAACTTGTAGATGGCCAATTTTAAGCATTCGTATTGAAGAGAAAGAAACTGTAAAAAATAAAGGTTCAGATCCACAAAACTGGAAGAAAAGCTTTTGGCTTTTATCTTCTTCTCCTACCCCTCCAATTCCTTCTCATGTCAGTCTCCATTCTTTTAAAGATTGTTGGGGTGTTTTTTGTTTTTTTTTCAATTTTACAGTGCACATGTGTATTTCTAGTTAATCAGCCCTATCACTGGCAGAAAGACTCTCCTTGTGATTTTCAGGGAGCAGGTTTTACCCATCTTTAAATTCAACGTCTGTCTTGAGCAATTTGGTGATCTGCAAATAAATTTCCAAACCTTATTCTGACAAACTGATGGGTAAAGAAAGGAACTCGGAATGCTTTTTTTAAGTCTGAATAATAATTTCTTGAAGACAGAGGTTTTAAAAGCATACTGACGACAATTTTGAAGTTGCTAGAACACTCCTGATGAGCTCTGCTCTAATATCCCAAGGCAAGAAGGATTTTCTTTACAAAGGCCAAGGAGAAAGGAGGAAAATACCTGGTCAAGAGGGACTTGAAATAAGGGCCTGGATGTTAAAGGGCAGATAAAGCATAAGATCTTTAGGAGGTTTATAATCCTATAATGCACACTGCAGAGGGATTACCCTTTTAAAGATATTTATAATCCTATAATAGACACCCAAGACTGGCGACCTAATAGGTACGGAGCCGAAGGTAAGCGAACCAAGAGCATTGGGGTGTGAAATGAAGCACCCTGGGATAACGCGCTAACGAGCATCCCTGGCCCCGGAGGGACTTTGGGGACACGAGGGAGGAAAAGCATTAAATACCCCAGGCAGATGTATCAGGATCTAAGGCACCAAATAAAAAGTGTTACCTATGAACACTGTTCAAATGAAAAACTCTGAAGTTATTGGATAAGAGCCAAGCAATCTCCCAGAATGCTCAATAATTCAACGAGCCAGAAATAGCCAGAGTACCTTTATCATTATGTTTAGTTAAAGACCACAGAGATTAGAAAACACATTATCCATCTCAGAGGTGATTCTTTCCATGTTACAAGTCCCTTAACGACCTTTACCATCTCTCCCTCTCTCTCTCTTGCTTTTAATAAGGCTGAGCAAATGGGACTTCATTTTATCCCATTGCTGCAGACTAGCGGTATTAATTATTCATGCTCATACTCTCTCCTTTGTTAAGGCAGTGCATTAGACTAATTTCCCTCTTTACTGGGCGAGTTGGGCAAGGCTCAACCTGTGGCCACTGTTGTTGGACAGAGGCACTGAGAAGCTGGCAAATTCACGAGAGCGGGCAGAGGAAGAAAGGAAAAGTTACCATACTGCAGGAAACCGCCGCGCGGTGGGTACGGGGAACTCTCTTTCAGTGCTGTCCAAGAACTCCAGAAAGAAGACTAAATTAATTCACAAAGAATTAAAGACTCTGGAGCCAGAAGAGCTAAGCTGGGAGCTTTGTTACATCTTGCAGCTAAGTGAGGTCAAGCGTGGTGGATGCTCTTGGGTTGAGATACTTCCAAGAAAAACCAAGGAACTGCAGGAAATGCTGTTGATGGAACTCTTCCATGCATGTCCAAGACCCCAGCAGGTGTTTTGGGATCCTGTATTGTTGGAGATGTCTTTTTTGGATGGAACATTAAAACAACAAATCCCCGAGCGCTTGTTATCAAAGAGGCTGTGGTGCTTTCAGCGAGAGCAGGGGTGTCCAACCCACCGTCCTGGCCCAGAGCCAGCCGACAACTGCTTGGGGAAACAGCTCCTTTCCCTCCACAATCACGGTTCTGCTTCTTGTCAGAAGTTACCATGTCGCACGGCTAGTAAAAACCCAGCTGTCCCTCAGAAATGGGTAAAGCACTCTTTATACAGAGTATATTTAGTTCTTATGTAGCTCAGTATTGCATGGAGTACCATAAATAACAGCAAAAAGTGTACTGTAAAACCATACTCAAAACCTACATCCTTCTCCTTACCGAATAACACACAGGATACATTCAAGAACCACTTCCTTGGAACGAACCGTCTTGGATAGAGGCTGCTAGCTGTCATTTGAGAGACAGAGGGCAAAAAAAAAAAAAAAAAAAAAAGAGCCTTGAGTTGCTCAAAGATGCAGAGGAACAAGCAGCACGACTGGGAACAGAATTTGCATTTATTTCGAGATTATGTTTCTCTCCCTTTCCTTCTGCCCATCCCTCTGCCAATTAGAAAAAACATTGCCTGAATACACACTAATATTGCCAGCAAAATAAAAGGTCATGGAATTTCAAGCCCACCATGAATCAAAAGGGATCTGGGGTTTTTGCTCAGGTCAAACCCATCCAGTTCACAGGGTGCCTACAAAGGCGATCAGGCGATTTCATACACGTTTGCGGCAGAAGTCATCAAATTAAGTACGACATATGGCACACACTGCTGCAAGTTTGAGTTTTATTTCTAAAGGGATGTAGAAGAAAAAAGATTTTCAAAGTTTACAAGCCTCAGGGGCACAGTTTCCCAGGGCAAATGTACTGAATAGCCTACTGTAAACATGGCACATAACACTGCAACAACAACAAAAAAATTTGACTATTAACAAACGCAAGGTCAGCATATTGATACTTGTACACAGAGATAAGTGTTCTGGCTCCATAAATTTAAAGATGAGCTAAGATTTAAAAGGAGCAGCTGAGGGAGACGGACAGACAATCAGAGAGAAAGAAAAAGAGTAAATCAAACACAAAACAGCCAGTAAAAAAAAAAGAAAAAGCAGTTCATATACATGAATAATGGATGTTTGATTT